GGCCTCGAGGTTGGTCACGTGAGGCGATGGGTGGGGCCGGGGCTTGTCCTCCGCCCCCCCGCTGCAGGGTTGACGCGGTGCGCGCCGAGCAAGCGCTGTAATGAGGGCTGAGTGTTGAAGGCTTGGTCGTGAGTTTTGTCTCCTCCGGCTGCAGCAGGCCTTGGCGGGAGGTTCCGGCCTGCGGCCCTCAGCCCAGAGGTGGAGACGCCGCAGCGGTTTTGCTGTCTGCATCGAGTTCTCAGTGCGTCCCTTGTTCCCGGGAGGAGTGGGTAGTGGAGGGGAGGTCAGCCCGCGGCGCCCTCTGGTGGCGGAGGCGGCCTAACGCAGGCGAGGGCCTGGAGGGCTCGACTGTGATCGCTGGGCTCTCATCTCAGATTCCTGGGACTGCAACTGGGAAGAGGAAATTAAGTGCATGAGCCCTTGTGGGTGCACTGTGGAGATCAAATGGGGGCCAAAACCAAAAAAAGGATTTTTAATCTTTGAAGTGGTTAAGTGAGAGCATGGAGTAGAGCCATCCTACTGGGTTTGAATCCTACTTATGTCACTTTGTAACTACAGATGCTCCTCGACTTACTATGGAGTTATATCCGGGTAAACCCACGGTAAGTCGAAATGCAGTTAATGGACCTAACCTACGGAACATCATAGTTTAGCCTATCCTATACCTTAAACATGCTCTGAACATTACAGTAGCCTACAGTTGGGCAAAGTCATCTAACACAAAGCCTATTTTATATCAAATTGTTGAATATCTCATGTAAATTATTGAATACTGTGCTGAAAGTGAAAAACAGAATGGTTGAACTGCTGTGCTGGGGGCAGCAAAATTATTTGAGTGATTCAGTCCATTTTTACAGAGACTAGTTTGCCAAGTACATTTCAAGCTTCAGTGGACACTGGAGGATTAAGTCGAAAAATCATAAGTTGAACCAACCATCTGTATAGAATATTAAGCCAGTTACCTGACTTCCCTCTGCCTCAGTTTCCTCAGCTACAACACGGGAAAATGACCGCACTAACCCTCAGGGCTACAGTAAGGATAAAATGAGTTAATACATATAAAGTGCTTAGACATAAGTATTAACTTTATCTTAAATGGGAAGCAATTGAACTGTTTGGTTTAAGCAAGGGAGTGATTCTGTCAGATGTGTTTAGAAAGTAACAATCTGGCCACAGCATGGAGAACACAAGCATACCTGTGTCTCATACCACCTTTCTTCCTTTCCTTCTTTCTATTCAAATCATAGAATTCTTTCCTAGGTGGGAGTAGGCAGCAGTAATGTCAGTAGGTAATGTCCCAAGCTCTAGTCCCAGAGGCTGGCACTATGCTTGGCACATGTTTATCTAATTAAATTGACTACCATGGCCTACTAGGCCCTAAATAAACCGGACTTTCCAGTTCAACTCAACCCTTCACCCTGGATCCTACCCTCAAGCTTTTTATTTACTGCTAGTCACTGAATGTTCTATAAATGGGCAGGTCCTCCTCTTGGTCTCAACAAAAAAGGGTTTCTTCAGACCACCATTTCTAAAATAGGTTCCACTGTTATTCCAGGAGATTTCTGCTAGTTTCTTTCTTAGCACCAACCATTTACTTACTTGATTTTTTCTTTCTTTTTTTTTTTGGTCTTACTGTAGGGTAAGAAAGCACCATGTCTCTACTTTCATTTCTCTGACACATAATACATGGCTCATAGTAGATTTTCAGTACATTTACCAAATAAAAATGATGCCTTGTATTACTGCTAAACTCTTCTGTGTGTATTCCTCTCTCTTACCTGTAAACTCCTGGAGGACAGAACCCATCAACATTGGTGTTGAAGTACCTACATTCTAGGACATTTCCAGGACATCTTTGGCTCCCTTGAGTCAGACTCACTGTTCACTGGTGTCTCCCCAGTGCCTACGTGCCCGATGACACACAGGAGGCACTAAGTAAGCATTTGCTGAGTGAATGAACGAATTGAAGGCCTTTTGTTACCTCAGCCCATCCAACTTTTCCCTTCATCTTTCCAACATAAACTGTCTATATAAACATTTGGAGGGAAACTTGCTGAATCCCTTAGTAACTCCCAATCATTCAAAATTGGCAGGTGATGAAATAACATCTTGCCTGGAGATGTGATTTGGGCCAAATCTTGTCCCTTGAAGTTTGTATCTCCACAATGCAGGGCTACAGAGGGGGCTGCTTTTCTCTCTGCTCTGAAGATGAACACTGACCCTTCCCCATCATTCCACTTCACTACTGAGACCACAATAGAATGCTGAATAAGACCTGCCTGAAGGTTTGTGGGCAAGGAAATAATAGAGAATAACTTAAAGCTGGCCACTTGGTATGGCTGCATTCTGAGCTCACAGGCCTTGGCATATCATCATGGGGTACCTCCAAGGGCTCCCTCATTTCTTGAAGCCCATGCTTTTTACTTCCAAAACACACTTAGGCACTTCAAAATCCAGCCACAAGGGAACCCCACCTAGCAGGAGGAAGATTTCCCATCTCCTTCCTAAAGTTCACATTTCAAGATCCCACCCTGCCTCTTTTCTTGGTCACTGACATGGGGAATGTCCACTGAGGATATACACCCCCCTATTAAAGGGTATTGCCTTTATCCTCCAGTGTCTGCTGAAGTTTGGAACCTACTTCACACACTGTAGACCCCATAAAGTGGACTGAATCGCTCAAGTCATTCTGCTTCCCCGAGCACAGCAGTTAAGACAAGTTTCACCACCATCCTTTGTTCCATGACAGAAATTGGCACTGTGTGCTTCTCTTGGTTTTGACCCTTCTTTGGCATTTTCCTTTCCTTTGCCACAGTTTTTAAAGTGCAGCACCATGAGCACTTTAAAGTTTGGTGACATATAATTTTACCCACTATGTGAACATTTTGTGGTTAATCATTATTAATTATCCTAGACTTATTGAGAAACCCAAATATTTCAATTTTATTCATCCACAACATGTACTAACAATTATCTGTTACTATCTGGAAATAAAGATACCGGGTACTCTTGCAGAGTGGTTAAAACTAAACGCTATGGGGCTGGCCAGTTAGCTCAACTGGTTAGAGCATGGTGTTACAACACCAAAGTCAAGAGTGTGTACACACACACACACCACACGATCAGACTGGTCCAGGCACACACACACACACACACCACACACACACACACACACACACACACGATCAGACTGGTCCAGGCACACACACACACCACACACCACACACACACACACACACACGATCAGACTGGTCCAGGCACACACACACACACACACCACACACACACACACACACACACACGATCAGACTGGTCCAGGCACACACACACACACACACACACGATCAGACTGGTCCAGGCACACACACACACCACACACCACACACACACACACACACACGATCAGACTGGTCCAGGCACACACACACACACACACACACGATCAGACTGGTCCAGGTTAGAATCCTGACTACTTCCTACCTTCATGTCTTCAGCTTTGGAACCTTGGGCAAGATACTTAACCAGAGTGAGCCTCAGTTTCCCCACCTAAGCTATGAAGATAATGATAGTATCACTTTATAAGGATGATTTGCAGGGTTAAATTACAGATAACACATTTAAAAACTGGCACTTAGCAAGCACTTGATAAATATTAGCTGCTATTATGTCACCTCATTGGCCAAAATGATGCCTATCACCACTAATACTTGGACATTTTCAAATAAACTAAGAGATATTTATGTTTATTACTCCATTTAATTCTTCCTATGAGCTTAGTTATATAATTTTTATTATATATTGTAAAGTAGTAGTAAAGGCACAATGTTCACTTACACACTTACATGTAGTTAATTAGCACTTGGGTAAACAATTTTAGAACAGAGCTCATATCTGCATGGTACAGAAGGTTTATGCTGCAGTTGTAACTGCAGACAAGTGTTTCAAAGCTGGCCTCCTAACCAGTGGCATCAGAACCATCAGGGAAAGTTTAAACAAAAGACGACTACAGATTCCTGTGCCCATACCCCAAAAATTCTGATTCAGAAGGTTTGAGATAGGACCTATGAATCTCTGGGTAATCTGTATATAACAAAACTCTGAACCACTGGTGAAGAGCACAGTCATGTCTCAATGGGATCTGGGTGGCTGAGAACAGTGAAACAGCAAAGTAAAAACATGCTGCCTTTTTTTGGATCCTGAGATTACCAATTTGGAGATGGGGTAAAGTTTATGACAAAAGGCATTTCTCTAGTGTGGTCATGGCTTGAGAGAGCCATCGGCTTTCCCCAGATCGTGGATGGCCTTGTTATCCAGAAGTTCCATCTTCTTGTCACTTGATTGCACTGCGTTGTTCAGCATTGCTCTAACCACAGTCACCACAGGCACAGAGTACCCACTGGCCCAAGATTCTGGTAAGGAGCCAAAGAATTTTCTAAACAACCACTCAGCTGGGCGAGATTCTTGCCTGTCACATAACAGAACTCTAAAGAGAAAAAGAAAAGCAGAGGAAAAGGTGGTAAACTGCATTCAGAACATAGTGGATGTTATGGACCGAACTGTGTCCCCTCAAAATGCATATGGTGAAGCCCTAACTCCCAATATGACTGTATTTGGAGACAGGGTCTTTAGGAAGGTAATTAAGGTTAAATGAGGCCTTACAGATGGGACAGGATTAATTTGATAGGATTGGTGTTCTTATAAGAAGAAAACATATCAGAGATCTCTGACTCTCTGAACACACACAGAAGAAAGACGATCTGCCAGCCAGGAAGAGAGACCTCACCAGACACCAACCCTGACAGCACCTTGATCTAGGACTTCCAACTTCCACACTTTGAGAAAATAAATTTCTGTTGATTAAGCCACCCAGTCTATGGTATTCTGTTATGGCAGCCTGAGCAGACTAATACAGTGGGTATAAACTTTTATTTGGCACATGAAGAGGATTTTTAAAAAGGTGGCAGCAAATGCTACCCAGGAAGTTCTGGACTATTCTGAAGTTGGCACCACCATCAGTCCTTTCTTTTAAAGCCAACAGGTGAGTCCTTCAGAAAAGCAATCTACCTCCAGCCAACTTCTTTCATATCTTAGGTATCTTAGCTGTCAATCTCTGCAAATGAAAAACTAGCTTCTAGGGACTAACCAACAGTGGTGTACTTTCAGGCAATATGAATACTTACCCAGGCCTAAATACAGAGTAACGATCAAATTTTAATTCTTCAACCCCAGCTTCTATCTCTCCCTGTTAAGGAAAAACACATTTTCAGTATTTCATCAAAACCCAACTCACTTATGAAAAGCTTAAGAGAGAATAATTTGGGGTTTTGAAGATAATCTGCTTCTGCTGGTCTCAATACTCATAAATAGCCTTATCTAGAATTTCAGATTCCAAAGAATCTGGGAAGTTAAGGAAGAGATCATTTAATCCTGATATCTAGTAGAGAGTTAAAAAAAAGACCTACTGAATGAGTAAATGGCCGCATACTCAGTCCTCTCATTTTATCAAGATCCAGAGAGGGTAAATGATATGTTAGTTCAACCATAAGAAAATATCCTCCCTTTATCCAGAATTAATGCTGCAGGCTATTAGATATCAATCTTTTTTGGTTTATAGGTAGTTCCAGTGGGCCAGAAAACCCACAGATCCTCTCTATTACTCACTTCTTAACAAAGCCCACAAAATTTCAAGAGGCAGTGAGATTACATGTAAATGATGCTTTAAATTGATTTGTTAAATCATAAATTTTCATGCCTGGCATCTCTGTAAACAGAAATGCCAGAGAAGCACAGGCCCAGGCACCTATGAAGACCCTGTGAGTTGACAGTCACATGCGGCTTGGCTCCTTGCCCTTAGCTGGCTTATACCATGCATTTGGCACTTTACCTGTCACGTCATATAATCTTAGGTCACTATTTTTAAATATTTTTTTCTTTTTTTAATCAGTGTTTTTTAGTATATACACAAAGCTCTGCAACCTTCACCACAATCTTAAGTTTAAAACATTTCATCACCCCAAAAAGAAATTCCACACCATTAACAGTCACTCCTCCTTCCCTCCTGGCCAGGCCCTGGTCAACCACTAATATACTTACCATCTCTATAGATTTGCCTGTTCTGGACATTTCATATAAACGGAATCATACAATTTGTAGCCTTTTGTGACTGGCCTCTCTCATTTCATATTATGTTTTCAAGGTTCATCCATGCTGCAGCAAGTATCATTCCTTTTTACAGCTGAATGCATATCCCTCTGTATGCATATGCCACGTTCTATTCACCTATTCACCAGCTGATGGACGTATGGGTTGTTTCCACTCTTTGGCCATTATGAATAATGCTGCTATGAACATTCATATTCAACTTTTTATGTGGACATGTTTCTTAGCTTTTTATAGAGATGTGTTTTGTCTCTATTAGTGTGCATACAAGAGTTGACATAACAGGCTGAGCCTGCTAGCCTTAGAAAGGCCTGCTTACAAAAATGGCCCTTGACTTGTGCCTGGGGACTTGGATTTTGGGAGTGTTCCCCCTTAACTGATAAGGGTAGTTTACTGTGCCTAAACTGTTTGTACAAACAATGTGGTTTATGCTAAATACCTGCTTTTCTTCTGGAGGTCTGTAGTTTTTGCTAGGCTGAGAGTGCCTATGTGACTGACTCCCACAAAAACCCTGGATTCCTGGGCTCAGTTTTTCTGGTAGGCAACATTCATTGCTGGAAAAATTAAGCACATCCTGTGCAAACTCCACTGGGAGAGGCCTCATGGAAACCTATTCCTACTTTCCTCCAGAATCCACCCCTGCAACTTTTCCCTTTGCTGATTTTGCTTTATCTCCTTTTGTTGTAAGAAATCACAGCTGTTAGTGTGACTACATGCTGAGTCCTGTGTGACCTTATAGCAAATTACCAAACTTGGGTTTGTCTTTGGGGATCCTCCAATACTACCAGATTATAAACTGCTGGAGGTCAAGGGCCATACCCAATAATGAAATATCACATACTCTGGAAAGTGGTATCTTCTCCCATTGAACAGATGAGGAAACAGAAGCTCATAGACACCAAGAACAGAGAACACGAGGCCAGTCCAGTGCTCTGGGTGCCACACCCCAACCCCTTTCCCCACACCGGCAGAGTGCCCTCAAAAGTATGTGATTGATCCAGGCCCCCCCAGCTGGCCCACAATGAATGCAGTTTGAAATTTCATTGAGTAGAATAAATATCCCTAAAGAATAAAGGAGTTTCTAAAGTGGGTGAGAGGGGGGAGTTCACACACAAGGAGACTGAGAAATAAGTAAAACATACTGCGGATATTGCACACAGTAGCTGAAAGATGATTCAGAAAAGATCATCTTATTTCTAGAAGCAAGCATATTAGCATCATTCTGGTTGGACCATTTGGTTGTCATTTCTGTCCTTTCAATTAATCGAATTCATAATCCCATGCTGCAGGTAATACAGGTCAACTTCACTGAATATAGAGGTCTCTTTCCATTTTATTGGCATTACTAATATTTGCTGGGGCTCTGTCATGGCCCAAGAGCTGTGCTGGGTCCCTCAGCATGTACTCATCTCTTTCCATAATATTTGCTGGGGCTCTGTCATGGCCCAAGAGCTGTGCTGGGTCCCTCAGCATGTACTCATATTAATGACAAAAGCTAGTCATTACAAAATGGCTAGGATCACATGCCCTGGAATCAGACTGCCTGGGTTCAAGTCACAGCCCTGCCACCTACCAGCTAGTGATCTTAATATCACAGTACCTCAGTTTCCGAACAAATGCACATAAAAGCCCTCAGAACACTGCCTCGTTCAAGTAATGTTAGCTTTTTTTTTTTAATCTGATTGAATCATTATTATAACCCAGTGAGTAGATAACCTTTATCTTTAAAGATGAAAAAACTATATATTTTTTTCTTTCTTAAGAGGGATAAATGTTTATTTTCTTACCAATAAGAGCAAAACTCCTACTTGATAACCTTTCTCAGAACCCACATGTGTAAGTATGTATTTTGAAAAACAGATTTCTTTTCCTCTTAAAGATTGCTCTAAACTTTAACAATGAAACTGAAATTTTTTCATTTTTGCTTCAACTTGCTTGGTGGCTCACTGACCACCATCTGGTTCAAAATACTATTTTAGGATAGGAGAGATATAGCTCAGCTGTAAGCCATGTGAAAAAGATCTGGAAATTTTCATTATCACAAGCTGATCATGAGCAAACAAAATGATAAAGATGTTTACTATATTTATTTATAACTCATTTGAAAAAATAAAACAACATAGTGTCCAGAGTATAAAAAGTAGTGGTTCCACTGCAATTTAACCTCACTGTACAGTTCAATTTTAGCAAAGTGACCAGAGTGATGAAGGGGCTAGAAATAGGAACAAAGAATGGTGCAAGGACTTAAAGGTACTTGCCTGGAGAAAATACAATTAAGGCAGCCATAATCTCCAAATATCTTAAAGAACACAATGCAAAAGAAGGACTAGGTTTGTTTTTGTTATCGTAAAAGGCAGAACTCTTAACAATTAGCATTTATATAGATTTCTTCTCAAGGCGAGGACTTTTGAACAAGTGGATTTGACCAAAAATAGAAAGAGCTGGCTAACGAGATGAAACTCCCTAGTGGTGGAAGTATTTAAGCAGAAGTTAGATCAACTTCTGTGAATGGATTTCACACTGGAAAGGTCTTTGGCCGAATGACCTCTAAGGCCCTGCTTAAACTGCAGATACTTGGGGCATGTCAGGAGGCACGCAAAGACAATGCCGTGGCCTACCTTCCAGCAGCACTGATTTAACTTGAAGGTAAGTAAATGGAAACTTTTTTTTATTAAAATAAACAAGAATATGTATAGTACTAAGAACAGCAAAATGTGCATGATTTTTTTTAAAGATAAAACACAAGACTTTTTAAAAAGCTGGGCTTGTAACTAGAAGACTGCTCCAGGCTAGATGTCCCCAAATCTCCAGAGAAGTAAAAGCTCCTTCCTCCTAGTCATAAGAGAAACTGAGGGAAAAGTTTAAGAACCACTGCCTCCAAGTCTCTTCCAATGCTAAGATGCCATGCTGACAATCAAGGCCAGAGCTGCCACATCTCATTACATTGATTACTGGATAATTAATAGGGGGAAGACACTGGAAATTATCTTTCAAATCATTCCTGTTTACTAAATATATTCCTGCAAGAACAGCCCCTGTAGTTATGAAAAATGCATAAAATAATGCATTTAATCCTTTTTTGTATTATACAGTATTTTGTGTTATTTAGTACTGCCAATTAGCCAGGTTCTCCAAGGTGTATAAAAGACAGAAACATCCACAAACCTTAACTCGAAGATATAAAAAATTGCTTGACTTATCAGCTCCTATAGCGGACAGCAAGTTGAAATGTTTGCACCCTCCAGCTTTTGCCAGCTCTGCAGACTTCAGCACATAATCCCGGTCAACACGAACAAATCCCTCCTGAGGGGGAAAAGGATGTGAGTTATTTCCAAAAAGCTGAGAGTTCATCTTAAAGATTACAACTCAGCCAGGATGGGGAGGAGGAATGGGGATCTAAATAAAATGCATCCAAACAATATGTGAAAGTCAGGCTTAGACCCTGGGAAAGGCTCCAAGTATGGTCTTCCAGATAGAATACCAGATTTAGCGGCAAGGCCAAACAGCAACGAAAAAACAAGGATGATGACACTGAAACACAGACTCCAAATGAATCCACAAGGAGCAAAGGGAATAAGGGCAGGATGGGAAGCTGCTTTTTAGTTACACATTTCATTGTCTTTTAACAACTTTACAATCCTCTCTGTTTTCTCTATTTTTTCTGTGCCAGCTCTAACACGGGAGGGTCTCAACGTGTGCCTGTGGATACTCACTAGACACAAAGTCTATAAGTCTATTTAATTTCCAATGTCTGTGTATGCTTTACAACATACCTTACATATTAGTAAGGAATGCATCCTCAAAGTTGTTTTCCTGACAGGTCAATAATGAAAAATGTTTGGAGCCCCTGGTCTAGACTCAGTCCAGAGAGGGTAGTGGCTGGGTCACTCTTCTTAATTCACATCTCAGCATCACTACATGCCCAGCACGTGGAAGGTACTCCAAAAAAAATGTGGATGATGAATGAAAGTCCAATGAAAGCAGAGAAAATATAAATCCAGTCAGAAAAAAAACAGAACTAAGTGGCCATAAAAAGAGGAAGGGAGAGGATGATGCAAACAATATAACACAGACTTATTTCCAGGGCCGAACTGAAGGACATGTGTCCTTACCCCGAATTCCATGTAATGACAGCATCCTGGGACCACCATAAATTCTGGCATCCTCAAACTCAAGACAGCTGGAGAGAAGTCTAAAGTGAACTGAAGCTGAACTTCATAGGTAATCACAATTATATAATGAGGTCTTATAGTGGAGGAGATTCCAAATTTGAAGATTGGATTACTGCCCCAGTGATTTTTTTTTTTAGCTAAAAATTTGCTCTGTGGTAGTTACCAATTCTAAATGTTTTATTTGACATGGAGATGTGTATATTTCACAGAATGTTAGAGGAGACTTTAGGATATATCATGTCTAATCCCCTCATTACGTAGTGGGAAACAAGGTCCAGTGGTCAGGAGAACAGCCAGCTGGGAAATGAGTGCTGACAGTGGACTGCAGAGTCTTGACTCTTGAGCAGTGCTCTTTCCACTGTACCCATGTTCCTTTTTATCCCACACTCTCTCTGGCTGATGAAAATGACCAATTCATAACTATGGTTGGCAGAATAATGAACCCTCAAAGATGTCCATGTCCTAATCCCCTAACTGTGAATATGTTACATGACATGGCAAAGGAGAATTAAGGTTGCCAATGGAATTAAGAGTCCCAATCAGCAATGTTAAAATAGAGAGATTATTCTGGATTATCCAGGTGGGCCCCATGTAATCACAAGGGTTCTGAAAAGTGAAAGAGGGAAACAGAAGAGGTTAGAGTTATGCAATGTAAAATGGGCTTGAGCCCCTTCCCCGCACTGCTGGTCTTGAAGATGAAGGAAGGCAACCATGAGCCAAGGAATGGGAACAGCCTCTAGAAGCTCGGAAAGGTATGGAAATGGACTTTCCCCTAGATCCTCCGCAAGGGAAGCCCTATCAACACTGATTTTATCTCAGTGAAACCCATGTTGAACTTCTAACCTATAGAACAATAAGATAATTCGTGTTACTTTAAGCCACTAAGTTTGAGCTCATTTGCTATAGCAGCAATATGAAACTAATGCAGAATTCAATTTTAAAACAATAGGCTCGGGCAGACTCATGGCTCACTTGGGAGAGTGTGGTGCTGATAACACCAAGGCCACGGGTTTGGATCCCATATAGGGATTGCTAGTTAGTTCACCTGAGAGAGTGTGATGCTAACAACACCAAGTCAAGGGTTAAGATCCCCTTACCAGTCATCTTATATAGGGAATTAAAAATTAAAAATTAAAAATAAATAAATAAAACAATAGGCCCAAGCACATTTTTTAAATTTTGTATTGAAGTATATCATAAAATAAAAGTACACATAATTTTAAGTATAAACCTCGATGAACTTTCGTAAACTGAACATCCTCTGCAACTGGCTCCCAGATCAAGAAGTAGAACATTACCATTACCCTACAAGCCTCCCTCATTTTCCTTTCTCATCACTCACAAGTACATTTTTTAACTATATCCACTACCTACACGCAGTGCTACTTTTCTGACTTACTTCAGGTAATATAAACTTATCTCTTTACCCATGAATCATCACTATCTCCTTTTGTGTTAAGTACTGTGACACTCAGTCCTAAACAAGTGACTTTCTGACCTGTCCTACAAACTGATTCAAATTCATGTTGTTGCTTTTTAAAATCAGTGTGAAACAAACATATTTTAATACTCAGCACATCCTGAGAGAGAGGTGATTCTCCTCAGAGCCATTCTCCAAACTGAGATTTTAGATGTGCTGAACATGTGCCAAGAAAAACAACCCGAAGCTACATGGAAAATTTCTAGAACAATGAATTTCTCTTCCACATCTATTTCTTCCCCTCACTCCAACTCACCAGAACTCTGGTTTTAATAGCAGGTTTGTTACTCACAATAAAATTACACAGTTGACTAGTGAAATAAATTCCATTTTTAGTTGTTGTTTTAGCACGATTGCTTGGAAGGATTATTATAGTTGTCTTTGTTAAAATGCTTTTTCTTTCATCAGCTTCTTTAAAAATAAGGGAAAGATTCAGCCAATCACAAGTCTCTAGACCGACGCTGTTTTCTCTTGCTTAATCCAAAGCCAGTAAAGGGATAATTTGATTAAACTGAGACCCTAATTTATTTGGCTTTAGTTCTGGATCAACCTCTCCTTAATAGAGTGCTGTCATCTCCAATTGTTTGATGAAAATTAAAGTGACATAAATACCATGGGACTTTTTCAATCTGATTAGTCAGCTAAGGCACATCAATACCACCCCAGCCATCAGACGCTAGCGTCCTTCCTTTCACCCGCCTGGCTAACAACTGACAGCCGCTCCTTGAAAGACGAGCACCTACGCTGCCACAGAGACCGCGCCACACTCGGCCCATCAGCCCTGCTCAATGGGCCCTGTTGACAAGGTGCCCGTACCTTTCTCCATTGCTGTTTTCTGGACAAAGCTAAATATTGTTTTATTAGCAATCAATGGCTATTAATCCAAAATGATTTCACAAATCCTCTGAGCCCTCAAGCTGATTATAAATACGCATTTTTCCAAGCCCACTAAATTTTGAATTTCCCTTCCCTCACCCTGATGGCCTTTTAGCTGGTGAATGAAACTCAAAAGCAAAAGAGTCAATGGCTTTCAAGGACTTAGAAATCAAATGTAAGCGTGGCTCCTGATGACTGGCTAGGAGATATCAACACACACCAATTTTCTCTGGAGTCAGGAAGATTCCATTTATAGATGAAAGGAGCTATCTTTAAAATCTTATTACTAACACCCTTTCTTGTTCTCTAATAGCTCAAATAAAACAAAAGTAGAAAAACAAACAAAAAAAAGCTACTCCATATCCCAGAATCAAAATTTGGAAAAGCCAGTTTCTCAAACCATGTAACAAGAGAAAAAGACAGACATCTCTTCCAAGAATATTAAGTTCATTATGTTATCATGCCTTTAGGACTCCTTAGGTGGTGTATCCTACTCTGATCTAGAAATCAGAGTTCCTTCTAGAAACAGTAGCTAATTAAATAAGATCCTACTATAAATTTCCTTTCCCAGCACCCACTGGAAAGAATTAACATGAGGTGCTACATCTCAGCAGATATCCTCTATAGGTTCCACAAACATTAAGGGAAACAAATTCTTCAATTACTCTTATTTTCAGTCTTATTAAAATCCAAAGCTACTAAGTATTTCTTCTAAACTTCTTTACCAATGCCTGAAAACTAGGAACAACACTGTGGCTTACCAACAACTCCTCCTAACAAGGTATTTCAGTGCTGACTGATAAGACAAGCCAGCATGCCAGACTGACTCAAGAAGGTCACAGGGTCCTTTTCTGAGAAGGGAGTATCTATCATGCTGTAAATTGTCCCACTTAGCCATATTTCTGCTTCACGTTCTTTCTCCTTCACTCCCTTTTCAATCTGACCCTATAAATTAGACCAGAAAACAGAAATGCTCACGAACAGCAAATGGTAAATTGTGAGGCCCCATTTGATTGCGTTCTGGAGGGCATCTCTATATTTGATGTACAATGGTGGGAGACAGATGTTGGTTAGAGAAAGACTTTCAGATAGAAAAATAAAATCAAACAGATACTGAGGATTCCTGAGTTAATTTCTCTATGCTCAAAATTTTTTTCCATTTGGGGCATTCTTTCCTCTTTGTTTCAAAGTGAAAGAATTTTGCAGTTGGAAAGGGGTTTAGTAGTCATCTCACTCTCAACACAAAGAGGCGGTGGCCCACAGAAGCTAACTGTCGTACCCAAGTTTCCATAGCTACTTGGTATCCAAACATGGCCTGTGATCTGGGTCCCTGAATCCTCTAGGATCTTGCCACTTCACAAGCCCCCTCCTAGACATCAAATAAAACAACAGAGATTAGAATGGGGTGGGCATACTTTTCCTGAAAAGGATCAGACAATAATATTTTCAGCTTTGCAGGCCTCTGTTGCAACTACACAGTTCCACCACTACAGCACAAAAGCAGCCATAGATAATACATAAAGTAGAGAGCGTGGCTGCATTCCAATAAAATTTTCTTCATAAAATACTAAAACTTGAATTTCTTATATCTTCACACGGTATAACATAGTATTCTTTTGAATTTTTTAACCATTTAAAAATGTAAAAATGTATTTAGTTTGTGGACTATACAAAAATAGGTGGTGGGCTGTATTTGGCTCACAGGCTGTAGTATGCAAACCCCTGGATTAGGAGAGTATATCATTAGAATCAGAAGCCAATCTAATGATGCCTAATAAATGTTAAAACGGCTACATTAATCACATTAATGACATCCATTCAACAGAATCCAAGAACTTGGACTACTAGAGCCTAACAGGTGAAGAGACAAATGAAGAGGTGAAACCACATCAAACTACCTCAAACTCACTAACCAAATCCTTCTCTTAATACAAAGAGGAGGAAATGCACTATTCCCAATGGCATCTTTAGTTCTTGCTCTCCATTCAAGGCCAATGTAGGTCTGGTTTTCAAAGGGTGTTTCAACCTTCACTAGCACAGTTACTCATGAAAGCAAGGTGAAACACCTCAAACTCACTAATCAAATCCTTCTCTTAATACAGAGAAGAGGAAATGCACTATTCCCAATGGCATCTTTAGTTCTTGCTCTCCATTCAAGGCCAATGTAGATCTGGTTTTCAAAGGGTGTTTCAACCTTCACTAGCACAGTTACTCATGAAAGCAAGGTGAAAACCATCTAGGTCTATAGTACCTGAAAAACCAGCAGGTGAGGAGAACTAATACATCCTAATGCCTCCTAAAAGCAGGTCCAACAAGAAGAGCAGGGTTGGCTGCATTATGATCTCCCAAGGAGCCTGCTAAAAACTTAGATGCTAAGCTTTCAACCTCAGAGATTCTGATCCAGTAGATCTGGATTAGGGCCAAATGAGAGAGCCATTGCATTGACTAGACAACTATGACCTGCGAATGTGAAAAAGAAGATTAGCATCTCACCAGCTACTGCTAAAGGAAATGGTTTTCCAAATAGCTGAAAAAGGCTAATAGACCTATCCCTAGCACCCAGCACCAGTATCAACAGAAATTTAGGTAGACTGAATTTTATGAATCGAATTTTATCCCCCTACTCCAAAATACATATGTTTAATTCCTAACCCCCAGTACCTCAGAATGTGATCTTATTTGGAGGTAGGATTGTTTCAGATGTAATTAATTAGAATGAGGTCATAGTAGGGTAAATTCTAACAGAGAATAACTAATGTCATTATAAAAAGGGGAAATGTGGACACAGACACACGCCAACAGGGAACACACCATGTGAAAAGACACAGAGAGAAGGCAGCCATCTACAAATCTGCAAGGCAAGGAGAGAGCCCTGAAACAGATCCTCCCCTCACAGCACTCAGAAGGATCCAACCCTGCAACCCCATCAACACATTTACCTCAGATTTCTGGCCTCCAGAACTGTGAGACAACAATTTCTGTTGTTTAAGCCACGCAGGTTATGGTACTTTGTTAGGATAGCCCTAGCAAACTTATACACTGAACATCATAGGTAAATAAGATGGCTACTCAGAGGATTTCAACACTTAGACAGAAACCCTGAATTTCCTGAAGTTTCTCTACTGGAAACACAAATTGCTAAGGCAAAATGTGAGGTGTTCCAGCTACAAAGCAGCTACTGAATGACACGAGGTTTGTCACCAGCTCTGTAGTACACATCTGATGAACCACCTGGTGAACTCTTTTCTACAAAGAGGACTGCTGACCCAGAACACCAGCTGGAATGCGTTTGGAAATCCACAACTTCTTCAAACAATTATTGTTACCTAGCCACTTGTGAACTGTCACCTCTTTTAAACAGCCTAAAGTTATCACAACCTCCAAACTTTATACTGCATGCAATCCAAATCATTTTCACACACACCCACACCCACACCCACACACGCAAAAAAACAACCCAGAAAACTTTAAGACCTTTTCTGGAAGAAGTGTCAGCTTACTTTCTGCCACTATCCTCTTAAACCATTTAGGTCCTAACTCATTTCTGAGACTATTTAGTTTATTAGTCTTCTCCCTTCCTTATTGATTTCTTTTATCTTTTCAAACTGATTTTAAAGAAGAAAAGATGAGTAGCCTGAGAGGTAGAGAATGAACCACATTTAAAAAATATATTCTGGATAGTGAAGACACCTAAATCCTCTGATTAAAATTGCATTACACGATTTGAATGCAATAAAACAATTTAGACTTTTCCCTGATGTGCTCTATAATGAGATCTGCCTTACGCCATGAAAATCAACTGCTCTATGCCTAATGCAGTGTTTTGTTTTGCTGAGTCACCACTGAAATCAGGTTGGCTCTTGAGACAGTGAGACCTGCAGTGTACTGGAACAAAAGTTTTCCAATGCTTTTGGAGGACACACAGCTTGTGACTTTGGAACTGCCCTACCTGCAGAGCAGGAACATGCTCTTTTGTAGGAGAGATAATGTGCCAATTCCTGGGAAAGTCAAACTTCTCTATTATCCACAGTTTCTAGCACAGAGTTCAAAACCTGGCTGTGTTCCACAAGTGGACATGTAGAACTGCAGAAGATATGGAAATACGTCTTGACTAAAAGCATAAATAGAATTATTATTTGGATCACCAGGGAGCCCACATAAATACATCTAACTACTTGGTTGGTATAAACAAATAGTTCTTAACCTTATGATCTCCTAATGTTTCAGATGCATGGGTCTGGTTTGTAAACCTATGGTAAGTCCCCATGGCAGAATCATGATCCTGCATATTTTAATAGACATATTCCACTCCAGCAAGTAAATTCTGCCAGAAGGATGAACTATAGTCAAGGTATAAATTAAATAAGATGTGTTAACATTTGCCCAGGATCTACGTTGTAAACTGACTTCTAGACAAGGGCTGACTCAATTTAGAACATCATTAAAAAGAAAATAAAATGTGTGTTACAACAGTTTTGCATCAGCAAAGGCTGAATCATCAGCAGGGATGAATCATCGCTGAAGGCTGAATCATCACCGGGGGCTGCTGAATCATGTCTCTGTGTTCTGATGTTCTATCTCAGAAGTTAAAGCTTCGCGTGATAATAGGTTAAAGCAAATCAAGAGAGAGAAGGCTTCAAGTTTAGAACATTTATTAAGGGAAAAAAAAGCTTACTACTAACAGCATGAGCCAATTACATTTACTCAGACATCAGGATTTGCATTAGTCAGGGGATGTAGTGATAGCAATATTTGCAATAGGCAAGATCACATAAATATTAATGATGTCTCCTGCACTTGAGTCTGAATTCAAGGATTATTTTGAAGGAAAGATGAACTTATCAGTACTATTCAAAGTACAGCAAAGGTTAGGGCTGAATATGGAATCTTAAACATTGAGCTTATTTACAGTTAAGCACTGCAACAGACACAAAGAAAAGAACGAGCAAGAAAGGACATAACCAGCAAAAAGGGAGAAGGATATATTCCTTCCTTACCGCCCCAGCTTTTTTTCTGGTGGTACCCAGGCAACAGAATCCAACATCATGACCTTGAAAGGCAGAAGCGTAGTCATCCAACTTTTCAAAGTCCACCACTTCTTGATTCTAGACAAGGGCAAAGTTGTATATAACTTCATGTTGTTTAAAAAACAGACAAAAACCTCTCTAGATTTAAAGAATAAATTACAGAACATTACTGAAGGGTGTGCCCACTTAATACCAAATTTTGTAAATTCATTTTCTCTCACCAAAAAGAAATTAATCTGAATTGAAAATCAACAATGCAAGGGCCGGCCCGTGGCTCACTTGGGAGAGCGTGGTGCTGACAACACCAAAACCTCTTAAAAAAAAAAAAGAAAATCAACAATGCAGATATACAACCACGTACATGTAACTGGACTAGGAATGATCCAGATTTCTAAAGTCAGGTTCAATTATGTATTTTCTCTGGAAAAATAAAAGACCTGGCTGTAGCATGCTAAGATGGGGACCACTGAGGCATAATGTGTGGGCAGGGGATGGACAGTGTTTGGAATCTTAAAGAACAAGGACAGATCTTGGACCTGCTACTTACTAGGCATATTAACTATGTCCAAGTTAATAGATCTCATGCCTCAGTTCTTTTCAGTTGTAAAATGCAGGAGATGTTCTTTCCTTCAGTCCAACCCATGAACAGCCTGCATTAGAATCAGCCAGGGCAGGCACAATACTTCTGAATCAGAATGTGCACTTTTAACAAGCACCCACGGTAATTCTCAAGCACAGTGAAATTTAAGAACCCCTATTTAACCTTTTAAGTTTGCTATAAGATTTAATTTTGAGAAGTTCCTATCATAAAAGCGTTCAAATAAAATGCTGACTTCCTTCCCTACCATCAACTCTTTCAAAAGAATTTTTCTGCCACTATACACGATGCTAAAGAAAAATAAATTTTGCACAAAGTGCCTGGTCAAAAGATGTCCCACCAAGGGCTGGCCCGTGGCTCACTCGGGAGAGTGTGGTGCTGATAACACCAAGGCCACGGGTTCGGATCCTATATCAGGATGGCCGGTTAGCTCACTGGCTGAGTGTGGTGCTGACAACACCAAGCCAAGGGTTGAGATCCCCTTACCAGTCATCTTTTAAAAAAAAAGATGTCCCACCAAAACTCGACACTCAAAGCATTGATCTCAATTTCAGTTTCTAATGACCAGGAGTACCTGAAATGGCTCATGAAACTAGACTATAAAGATCACATATTACCTGCCTAACCCTGAGCCTCTCTGTTTTAAACAGTCAAGTCCTAATGGACCAAAGACATTTGCAAAATGACCTGAAAATGAACCTGTGGGAATAAATAACATTTACTGTGAAACAACTTATTATTTGGAATCTTCCTCCTATGAAAACTGTGGGCCAAATTCTGTAGTTGTGGTGTCTCGTGATCACACTACACAGTTTAATTTGCTTCAACTCATAGATAACTCAATTTAAATGAACAATAGAATCTCCAGGAAACTCAGTCTTCAGATACTTTGAGGGTTATTCACTATATCGAAATCTGATGTATCCTCTGCTTAACCATGAAAGTGTAACCACAAAAGCCTAGTAAGTCAGACAGGACGCGTCCGTGTCCTAGTGAATAACCCCACCTTTCACTGCATAAACATTTCCCACTCTGCAGAGCATTTTCAGCTTCAATTACAACATTAGTGCAAAACGAGCAAGTAGACAAAATAAGCACCGAATGAGAAAACCGCCAAGGTCACAGGACGTCTCTAGAAGCCAGGTTGTATGACTCTGAAAACTGCTCTTGGTTCTCCCCAGCCCCTACTACAACCTAGGCCCTGCTTTATAGTATTCCAGATGGAGAGAAGGGCTCTGTTCCACCCGACCTGCGCCCACAATCCAGGAGTCCGGTTTCGGGAGGGGGTCTCAGACACTAACCACGGTCAAACTTCGATCACCTCTAGACGCCTCCACCTCTGGCAGGGCTCAGCCTTTAAGCATGAAATACGCTCGCCTTGCAGAATCACTGGGGGGGAGGGGGGTACATTTTTGAGTCCCAGCTAAAATACCCACCACATTTTTATAAGCTTCCCCGCCGAAGGTGAGCTTCCTCCGGCCAATGAGCGTGACTTTGGAAAAGAGGCTCTGTTCCAACATTTCTTTTAAGAGTGCTCTGCCGGTTTCCCCACTGGCGCCCAGAATAAAGACGGATTTATTCTGCATCCTGAAGTCTTCCCGAAGCTTCGGCAGCGCCTCTGTCACGGCCATGCTAGGAAAATAACACCAAGTGCTGCTCTTAGGGTACGAAGGGATTGCCCGTCCTTACCCCCGGGGACAAGAGCTGTTTATCTGTTCAGGAAGAAGATATTGTTACTTTCCGCAGTCCGGGCCCGGGGGAAAGCGCTGAGTCACTCCGGGGCGTGGCGCCTCGGCCGTCCCCGCACCTGAGCCATCAGACAGACACATCGGAAGGGGCCCGAGCTGGAGGGTGCGCCCACGTGCCACAAACTCCTGGCACCACGGGCCCTCTTTCCCCACGGTATCCCTCGCCCGGGCAGGAGAGCAGGGACCCAGCTCTGTCTCCTGCACGGAGGAGTTACCTGGGGCCGCGCCCCGGCCCCGCGTCCTCACGCCGCAGCAGGAGCAGGGCAGCCACCAGGGCAGTCGCCGCCGCGCTCAGCACCGCGGGCCCGGGCATCCGGGAAGCCCTCGTTCCCTGCGGCTGCCCCCGACCGGCCGGCCCGAGGTGGGTGGGGATGGGGGGGGGTCGGTGATGGCCAAGTCCGCACCTGGTCGCCGTGGCCTTCCGGGTGACTTCGCCGAGCCGCTGCCGCGCCCCGCCCACAGGGGCGGGGTACAGGGAAGGGCGCGCGGGGCCAGCCCCGCCGCGGGGAAGGTGGGCCCCAGAGCACGTGCGGGGCGCCCGGCTAGGGGTAAACCTCCGGACGTCTTTCTAAATGTCGGGGTTCTCCGGGACCTTCTCCCAGGCATTCTTTCTCACCACCTGGGCTTCTCTCACCGAGATCCCAGTCAATAGACATCACAAACTTGACTTTTGTTGGTACTCGGACTGTAATTTCAATTGTGTGATTTCAACTGTGTATTGGACGTCTTCATTTCAAATTCACCACGTCTACAACTTACGTCTCCTCACCCAACATCCCTAAGCAAGAATAAACCAAACTCATTCCTTGCCTCTCTTGGACACACACCCCACACATGTCCCCTCTCAGGTCAGAAATCAGGCTATCCCTTTTGACTTCTTTCTCCTGGCCTTTCCACATTTCAGATTTATCACCAAGTCCTGCCATTCTGTCTGCCTTCCAAATATTTCTCATGTAATGCAAACTCTCACCATGTCTCATCAGGATAACTGGTCTCCCTGCCCAGCTCCTAGCCCACTTCTGTCTCCTAGATGGTTGAGCCAGTGTGACCTTCCACACCTGATTATGCCCCATAACCCAGATCAGTGGGTTCTAACTTAACTACGAGAGTGCTTCCAAAAGTTCGTGGAAAAATAGAATTAGAAGATAAAGCAAATACTTCCATGAACTTTCTGAAGACTTCTCTTATCTGCACTGAGCCTGTCCTGGATCTTGGAAGTCCTGGAAAGGGGTGAGACAGGAATCTGAACGATAGAATTAAAGGGTGTTGTGAACATTGGCCATTCCTTCCAGTCTAGAAGCCAAATGAAGCATACATTCTCTCTCCTATCTCCTAGGGGGAGTTATTCTATGTAGGCTC